GTCAAACTCACAGAAACAGAGAGTCAGAGTCAAAAGATGGTTACTAAAGACTGGGGGCAGAGGTGTGGCAAATAGGGAGACATTGCAGAAAAGTACAAACTTAATAAAAAAAGGAACATATATCTATGAGAAAAGGAGAGGATGTCTGTTGTAACTGCATGGTGGTCCCAGGTTCCTTTCCAATTCCCTTGTACAAAAAGGTACAAAGGACTGCATTGCTCAAAAGTTGGTCCATGCAGATAACAACGGGAATCCTCCTTCGTTCATTCATCAAATATGAGCACCCACTAGGAAATGTGTGATGTGATGCAATGATAAACAGGCAGATAAGGTCTCTGCCCTCATAGCCTAGAAAGGAGCCACCAAGTTCTACACAAGCACACTAGATTTTTCCCTAAGTTCATTTCACAAATCATGAAGCTGCTCGAAAAATATGACTGAAATCTAGTTAATGCTTATCCTCTTGTTATTTTCTTGAATGACCATCTCCTTGATTCATAATTCTCTTTTCTTTAACTATGTAAGAGAGATTACTTAGATTATCACAATATTCTGCACCTATTCACAGGGATCCAGGTCTGGAAAACAAATTTTGCAAAATGACACTTCTCAGCATAGCACAAGGGTTTATTTATGCCTTGCATAAGAACTGCCAATTAATATGCTAAATGCTCTTTCCTATTTCTAGATAGGGGCCTAGGTTTGGTTTACAGTTGATATTTACCTAGAACTCTGACATACACTTGTCCTCCTCTCCTTTCTACATTTAATACCTCTTCAAGCCAACTTCTAAATTCCTTCTCATTTTGATGACCATGTATTCAGAAGGGGAACTCGATGCGCACTTAATTCAGGCTGTTGGGTATTCAGCCTGATCTCAGGGGGAGGAGTAGAAATGATTTTGAGTTGCATTTCTGGTGATGAAAATCACCAGACTTCAAAATGTTGCTTAAATTATTTGCTCGTCTTGGCTAACCTAACGTTTTATACTATCAAAATGTTGGACTTTAATATTAGTCCAATATTACTTCTCTGACTCTTCTCTATCACCACCGACTTTTGAGAGTTAATGGTAAATGCTGCAGAAAATTCAGCATCTTCCTTGCACTCAGGCAGGGGCAAACATATCTTTATTAGGGGTTGGATGAAAGGGCTCTAGATTTCTTGAAGCCTTTCCCTTTAAATTATTTCTGGTAGAGGCTGGATTTGAGATCTGCCTCTGACTTGCTAAGGGCTATTTATGATTTATTTCAACCTTTAGCTGGCTCTGGAAAAAAAAGTACACAAAGTTGAAAATAAAGAAGAGAAGATGCTTAATCCTCAGTGGTATTTCAGTGGCATGGAGCACCCTGACTCTTACGATGGGTGCATTATTTAAATTTTGATATTTTTATTCCTTCTCTTACAAATAAAATTAAAATCCTTTATCATTTTTAGTTAGAGAACAAGGGCCATCATTTTTGAAAGAGAACACATTCAAAGCTGTGAGTCTTTTAATGCAGGCTGGTCCTCTGAGACTTTTCTGAAGCACCGTGAGGAAATTTTAAAGCCAGTCAAATAATTTTCCTAGGCAAAGTGGTGATAGGCCATGGTGAGCTATGGGTGTCATTAAAATTCCATAGAGGTCCCTAACACACCAGAGTCACCATAACATTGACACACTGACTATAAATATCTCCAAAGAAGCATTTGCTGCCTATCATGGCTCTGAAGGGAGGTGTTTCGGTCTATCAGTGCAATAATCTGCATGTTAAAAAGTCCCTAACTATGTATTTACAAGATAGTCAGATCTGTTTTGGTCTATTGGGTCAATAATCCATGCACTCAAAGTCCCTAACTATGTATGCACAAGATAGATCAGCTTTGGTTCACTGAGTCAATAGCAAGTAGGCCTTTACAAAGGCGCCTCTGCAGATGCAGTCGGCATTTTAGCAAGTTCAGAAATGCGGTTCTATGCACTTCCTGTCTTTTAAAGAGTGGATGCCAGAAGCTGTGTTTCCCTTTGGCCTATGATATTTTGCTTTTAAAAAAGTCCAGAAGAAAAACCACCGTAGCCCAAACCAAATTCCAACTTGGAAGCAAATAATGGAAACACGGGCATTTAGACAAAGCCCTGTGCGAAGGAGTGGGTGCTGTCCTTCCAGACCATGCCTCAGCCCTTTCTGCCTCACCATTCCCGTGCATCCCCCTCTCTGCTCTCCTGTGTCGCTGCATCCTTTGCTTACTACCCCTCCCCCACCACCCGGCCCCGTCAGACTCATCTGGCAGCCAGAGGGATCTTGCTAGGGTTTCAGCTCTTCTACAGCAACTTCCCATCCTCAGGGTAAAAGTAAAAGGTGCCTCAACATAAGCCCCTCCTCCCTTTGGCTTCTCCTCCTACCGCTCTGGTCCTCATCCAGGCTGCTAGAGCACACTGGCCTCTGCTGGTCCTTAAGCACGCCAGGCATGCTTCTGCTCCAGGTCCTTTGTACCTTCCCTTCCCACATGGCTAGCTCTCTTACTTTCCTTAAGTTTCCTATGAGAGAGGCCTTCCCTGGCCCCCCTGTATAAGAGAGCAGGACCCCGTCCCAAGCCCATGCATTTCCATTCTCCATTACCCACGCTGTTGCTCTCCGTTAGCACGTCCCATCCCCGAACGTATTGTGTCTTTCCTTATTTGTCTCCCCTACAGGTTAAGCTGCCCCTGCAGGGGCTTCATCCATCAACCACTTAGATAAGAGCCTGGCCTATTTTAAGTACTCATTAAATATTGAAGGTAGAAATGAGTGAGAGCAGATGGAAAGGGAATCTTCCTCTACTTCTCCGACTGCCTGCTGATGTGTGTTCGTGTTTAGGTTGAGGAGAAATGAGTATCTTTTTCTGAGATGAAGCCTTCTCTTTGGCCATTGGGCCTGCTTCCTGTAATAGTCTCTAAGTGGCGCGGAAGCAGTTCCTATGGAAGGGGCTCACCCATTGCATCCTCAGAGCTTCCGGAGGAGCTGAGGTCATCTTTGCTGGTCTCAGAAGCCCTTGACCAGTGTGCGTCTAATTTCGATAGTGCAGGAGTGGGACTGTCATTTCGAAATCTCCCCACTTAATGTGGTATCCACGATCAGCTCTGCTGACAGCCGTGGACTAGATTTTACCGTCTAATCTCACACAGCCATGAGGGATGGTGGGTGCCACTCTGCCACATGCCCGGAACAGACTGAGGAGTACTAGGTAGAGCCATTATTCTCTCTGAAACCTGGTAAATTATCCTTGGGATATTCCCCCATGTCCCCACCCCCCTGTTTAACCATGTACGATGCTTTCACATGCATCCTTTCTCGTGATTGAAGCCTGTCACCGTAACTTCCTCCTTATTTAAATTTCACAGGAACATTCTTATTTCAATCACTCAGAAAGATGCCTTCGGCAAGAGAATCACAGCTGACAGCAAATTAATGACTATGATGCTGTGATTAGTTGAGATTACAGGCTACAGAGGACCTGTCTGAGCATTTACCACTGTCATCATACTGAGGCTGGCATCTATTAGGGATTTACATTGTTCAAAAAAGAGGATGTGGGTTAGCCACAGTAAGCCCTATAGAAAGGTAAGGAAATTGGTCTGCATTGGAATATTCAATGATATGCTAATTAATTAACATAATTTTTACTGTTAACCTGCCCACCTAAGCAAGTCTTTCTTCCATGCTCTCCCTCCTAAACACAGATTTATTTTAATAAAGCCTGAAGGCACAAACTAAATAAAAAGCTGAAGTGATCTAGGTAATTCCAGTCCCTAAACCCAAAGTATTCATTAGCTGAAAGAAAAACATCATTTAATCTTGAATTATTTGGGTAAGTGACTAAATTTTGTAATTTATTTTTCATGAGAAGACAAAACTTAATGGATATTTCAGTGCATACCAGTCACTGAATGGATTTATAAAATAAAAGTTTTCAATCAATTTAATGGAGAAGGGTTAAAAAAATTCGTAGGAACAACAATGCTGAAACCATCCACTCAGATGTTAGGTATCATTGCACAGACTTCCAAATTCTGGCCGAAAAGAAATAATGATTTCTGTAATCCCCAGCAATGACTTTTGCAGGGGGAAGATTTCAAATAAATGTCTATTTGCTTTAGGTGAGCTTCACTGAATCGGCCTTATTTGATTTCAGATCCTCCTAAGGAAAGAGATTTCAGGATTTCCTGGTTGTAAAATGGAAAAGAACATTTTGCTGAACTTGTATGACATCATCTAAAGCATTAAAAGGGCAGATAATCATGGGTTCTCTACCTGTTTACCAAAGCTTCTTTGCCTCCTCAATCTACTTTATTTCCAAATGTCAGAGTGGTTTGAAACCTTTCAAAGATTTATAGACTGCAACAGCAGAGGAAATATTAGGATAAATCCTTTAACTTTTGTGAAAGCTTTTAAATAATTAATCGATGGGCTTTTGGAATTGTTATATATCACAGTACAGATACTCTAACATATACTATATAAAGGCTAAACAACAAAGGGCATTAGGCCATTTCTCTTTCTAGAAAGTCAGTGAAACTCCTTTTGATGGTATATACTTGAGTCACAAAGAGAACATTGGATAAGTGAAAGAAAATATAACTAATATAAAATAATTTAGTTTATCAATTAAAACCAAAATACTATACGATGAATGAAAATAGTAAGCACAATCTTGGTTTTAAATATAATTTCTTTTTCAAACTCCACTTGGAAATTATTTTATATTACAGAAAGAAGAAAACCTGGGGCTGCCATAATGCTGTTTATAAAAATCAGCAAAAATGCAATCAAATTATTTTCAAGCTTATATTATAAAAATGTTCTCCAATGTATTTAAAATATTAGACACAAACAGCCCAAACAAACAATACTTAAAAGAACTTACCCTCGATATGTAATAGACAAAGTATTTCTCACAGTAATAAATTAATTTTTTCTTTTTATGCAAAACTCCTTGACCATAACTTCATGAAGAAATGTGAAGTGGTGTAAAAATGATCTTACCTCATATTCAAAGTCCTCTGCTCTGTCTGCATCAGCAGGCAAGCTGGAAAGATACTCATTGTCCTCAAAAAATTCATGCTCCATCGGATGAAGAGAATGGCAGCTATGGGGAATGTAGCAAGATGATGTAAGAAGCAAGATGTAGCAAGAAATGGATCAAAAGGGTTGTTTTCAAGATTAAAACTGATTTTAGAATTTCACTTGTTTTCTCTGCTTTGCCATAAAACCTGTAGTGATCCAGCCTTTGAGTGAACTAAAAGCTCAGAAAGAGCAATTGCTTTTCTTTCTCCCCTCCATGAGGTCCATCAATTTGATTTTCTGAGAGAATACCAAGAGTAAGGACCCATGGCCAGAACAGCACTCCAAAGAGTCTGACGTGAAATCTCTGACAGGCCGTGGCACTTAATACTCCCTGGCCTGCTTCCATTCCACCAAATGTGACTTGCTCCATACATGGGTGTGTGGCCTTTGAGACTGCAGTCTACCCAAAGAGGGGGATTTTGTAACAGAGTACTACCCATTTCATAATATACAGCCCCAAACTGTTTTTTGAAATCTGTTTTCAAAAGCATCTATTTTTCAGATTGTAAAATGTACTCACCTTGTCCTCATTCCTTAAGACCTCCTTCCTTGTTCTCCCTCATAACCCACATTTCCCCCTCTTTGATAGAGGGCCAGTGCACAAATATTAATCAGCATTCACAGTGATACCTCACTGGAAATTCCTGTAAATCACAGGGTTTCATAATCCCTTCCAAAAATTCAGAGAGGATTAAAGGAAATGAGGGGGACCTGGGGCATTGTACATGACTTTTACATGTCTCACTTCGGAAAAATGTTTTAAGTAATTTACTGAAGTGCTTTAAAATTACTATAAGCTATGATATGGATCCTATACATTAGACCATATGAAGGTCAAGTACAGTTTAACAGCAAAGAGAATGAGGGCATCTCTATTTCTAGAAGTCAGTGAAAAAGACTCAGTGCAACTAACCAAGTTAGTGGCAGGTGAGACCTCTAAGCTGTGCCAGTGTGGACATTACCGAATAACTGGAGTTAGTAGTATAAATTAGTTTCCTTATCTCTAGTCCAAAGGCATGCGCGAGAGACGCATCCTGGTGTCCTCATACAGTCAATGTAAATATTCTACCAGTCCCTTCTCACTGCTGTCTATGGCTGTCATCTCCATATAGGGTTAATCGACATGAACCCTAATAGCAAAAGTAGTACATGCAACATCTTGCTTGCTGGTCTAACAGGTAAACTGTCCTTGCTTAAATTTGAACTGGCTCTGAAAACCCATTTGGATTGGTACATTAAGTTTACTGCTTTGGGCACTTAATGTGTTTCACTTGTCTCTCAGTTGGTAAGAAGGGAGCCCTGCCATGAGGAACACCTATTCATTCAATAAACATTTATTGTCTACTAGATGCCAGGCCCTCTGCTGAGTGCTGGAAATCTATTGGTGCACCAAATCCAATCAATTCTTGCTCTATTCATTGGGTAGAGCAGTAAAGTGGGAATGTCAATATAATGTGATACTTCAGGGGAAATATGGAATCTGAGAGCAGATGGGGGGGATGTCCCTACTGCTGTTCTAGGAAGCTTACTAGAAGGGGTTACCTCTAAGCTAAGGTCTGCAGGACTTATGGAGAGTGACATAGGATACCTGTTAAGAGAGTGGGTAATGGGGTCGGACCTCTTAGGCTCAGAAGTCTGTTCCTATCACTTCCTTGCAATGTGACTTTGGCCGAATAACTTAACATCTTCCCTCATCTGTGATGGTAATAGTACAATGCACTCCCTCAAAAGATCATTGTGAGGACCAAATGAGTTAATAAATGTAAAACATTTGTAATATTACTTAAAACATGCCAAATTAGCTAATAAATGTTAGCTATTATTCCTTCATCTCCTCCTCTAGAAGGTAGGTGGTGACTTTATTTTTGTTCCCAGTTTTATGCCCAGCACCTAGTTCCAGTGCCTGATAAAGGGGGCTATTTGATAAGTAGCGGTTGCATGGATGGAGTGAAGCAAAATAAACAGGGCCCTTGCCCTCCTGGAACTTGAAGTTTCAAGGAGTGGTTTCCAAAACATGGCTGTACCTTAAAATTGCCTAGGGAGATTTTTGGAAAAATTTTGGCACTTGGGCCTCACTCTAAAAACTCCTTTTTAATTGGTCTGAAGTAGGATTCAGGCATTGCATTGATACCGCTTTTCAAAATTCCCAGGTGATTCTAATGTACACATGTGGACCACTGAAATGAACCTAACAAAAGCCAATAAAGGGCAGGGAAGTGTTTTACAAAGTGCAGAATGGATTGTGGTAGGCAGTGAAAATGCAGCCTAAAGAGACTATTGTTTTTATAAATCAAACTCTCCCTAATGTTTGAATATTTGCTTCAAAGCTCACAGAACAAAATGTATGGTGCAAAACATACTTCCCCATGAAACAAGACTGTATAAGTAAGATTATTTGAATAAAATCTCTCAACCTGCCTTTAAATTAGGTAAAAAATTGGGAAGAAATATTCCTTTAATAGATCCTTATTTCACAGCTCTTATACTTAGTGACAACCAGAATCTTTTGTTGACATCTCAATATATTGGGTAATTGCTTTCTTTGGAGAATTGCACTCTAATTAAATTAATCTCCTAGCTTTTCCTTTAAAGAAGAGAAAAGCAAAGAGTGAAAGAGAGAGAGGTGACCCACAGAGGAGAAAAGAGTGCCAACATGCCACTTCTGTTTCAGTCTTAATAAGGTTTTTGGCAGCTTTGGTGAGAAAAGCTATTTCCCTGACCAGTGCTCATGAGTAGCATGAGGTTTCTGATGGCTGGAAATATAAAGATGAACTAATCAGAGCCAGAATTTTTCATTGTTCCTCAGCAAGCATGACTCCTAAAGTGAAGCAACTGTGTGGGTCAGGGAAAGTAGCTAGCAGGGCCAGCTGAGAACTAATTGGATATAGACACGGTGGAGACATTTTCCAAAGAGAACCGAGAGCCTCTCTCTGTAACTGTCAGCTTGCTAGTGTGACTGATTCTCTCCAACACCCACTTGAAATGCTGAGTGAAAACAAATAGGGCTTTTGGGAAAATGACAGGAAAAAGAACAATACCTGTCTGAGAGCAGGAATGGACAGATGTCTGGCACTGGAGGGGTCGGTGGCCGAAGTTTGGCCAGAGCCATGATGTGCTCGAAGGTGATGTCGGTCTGAGTGCTGGCGTGCATGAGCTGCATTGCTGGGGCTGTTCCATAGGCTGGTTTACTGAGCGGTGTTCGTCTTAGCACCTGGACCACAATGGGCTCCTTGGCATTTCGAAAAGCTTCCACGGCCTCTTCATGGGTGGCCTTTGAGAGATCCTTCCCATTGACCTGTGAAGATAAAAGGACATTGCTCACCTCAGAGGAAAGAACAGAGAGGCTGTCATCATAGATTAAGAAAAGATGGGGAGGGTAAGTTTAAGCCAGCTCTGATATGAAGTTTGTAAAGCAATATTTAATCAGACACTGACATTTATTGAACTCTTCACCAATACTCGGAAGTGAAGAAGATCAGGAAAACGCGTTGCTTCTTGTTTCGTTAGCAAGTATTCTGTCAGGATCATTAGTAAAGATTTAAACATTTAAATCACACATCGGCCTCAGAAAACGTTCACCAAAATCTGCAGATAGGTAGAAATGTTAAGTGTATCTCTTTTTTAAAAAATGTTCTATCCATCTCTTGGTGGGATTTTCAATATTTAATCAAAGTCTGACTGGCCTGAAATCTAACTTTGTGGGTATTGTCAAATTTCTTTCATATTCATCGTTTTTAAATCCAAGATCATGTTATCGTCATGTACATTCTATTCTAAATCCTTGCTGTTCAAAGTGTGGTCTGTGGACCAGCAGCATAAGCAGGAGCATAAGAGATTATTAGAAATGCAGGATCCCTGACCCTATCCCAGACCTGCTGAATCAGAACTGGCATATTAACAGGATCCCAGCTGATTTATATGCACTTGAAAGGAGCACTGCTCTAAAACATCTCTGAGTATACTATGTTCCTTTGGATCCTCACCTGTTTTAATTTATACCAATTTATGACTCTCCAAAGTAGCCCTGGACATAACAGAGAGAGAGGGATGTTTGCCTTTGCCCCCCATCACTGCTTCTCAGCAGGGCGAACCACTGGCATTTGGGAGAGAAAAATCATTCTTTTTGTGAGACTCTCCCATGCCTAATTATCAAAAGCTAGTGCTGTTCCCCAGCCTTTGCGGCACTCCAGACACCCACACACTTTTCTAAACACCCTTTCCAGCGGCAGTACAGACTGCTCTCAAATAGCTGTCAATTTATTTCCCTAAAACCGGTCCTGATAACAGAGTCCCTTTGTGGAAGTTGTTTCAATAAAGGCCTACAGCATCCTGAAATATCTTCACAATTCCCACCCTAGATCAATCAATAATGTTGGCTTTTGCAAATAGGAAGAGATACTTGGGGGCACAATACTGTGCTTAAAACCCCTGAAGTTATACTATTTCTAGACAACTAAGCCATCTGCCTGTTGGGGAGGCTCTGATAACTGCTACGCACCAGCAAATCCTTAGAGATCCCTGGGTGCCTTAAGAAGAAGCAAAGGGAGTTGCTGAGTTGCAGTCAGAGAGCGATTGCTGACATCCAAATGAGCACATTCTCTCTCCTTGAGTAAACAAAGAATATGTGTGTGCTCAGAGCAAGTGTGGGGTGTTTGGGGGTAAATGATACAATGCCAGGTAGAAATCATCATGTCATGTTGAGACAGGCTTAATGACCTGGAGGACCTAATTTACTCAGTGGGCCCTGAAACAGTTAATGTGCCTTCAAAAATTGAGCAATTAAGTTTCCTCACCAGCAAAATATGTCCCAGTACAGTTCTTGGATCACTAGTAAGAAACTTCAGTAGAAGATACGAATGGTTATTGACCAGGGTGCACACATTCACAAATCTGTACTTTCTCACTCTGATTCTTTTCTCTATGGACTAAAGTTGAACATTATTGCTGCATTGGTATTGGTACAACCTTGGAATGTCTGGATGACTTTGGGCATATGGGAGTATGTGAACAAGGGACATCAATGGACACAGTCATTCATTCCTTGAGCCATTGGTCTAGGGCACTTTGGGTTGGGGCCACCACCGTCTCCCCTGAGAATGTGTAATCAGCAGATGGTAAGCAAAGTCCAAGAACGGAGAAACACAACCTAAAATCTAACCTCTCATGTTGGCTGGTATCATTCTTTATGTTTCACACTGTGGTCAGTATTTAAGAACTCCAGGGTTGTCGAAGATGATCCAGTGGTAGACAAGATTGTTCTGCCAGAATCTATATGGGAGAAATTGCCCTTTGTCTCTAGGCTTCTGCTTTATGGTATCCCTTCAGTGTAGTGAATATCCACTCCTGCAAAGTCTTACATCCTTCTCATTCTGAAAAGAATTCTTGGTCATAATCTATAAGCCTTGCATTTAAAATAACCCTTAATAGTGGTAGAATAAAAGAAGACAGTGCCCTTTTTGAACGACTTCAAGCAATATCTGAGGGGAAAGGGAAAAATAATTTGTGGCTAGGGCGTCTTCCAGTCACACATTAAATCCTTCTAGTGCATAAATTGTGTGTCATTAAGTAGTGGACAGACTAATGCCATTATCCTATTTCTTCCTCAAGGTGGCTCAGCACCTTGCCTACAATGCAGTCTTGGTATTTCTTTGTTTCTTACTTGTTTTAGTGACTTTCAAAGCAAGAATAATTTTTCAAAAGTGAGTTCTTTACTGATTACTAATTATTTCTGCAAAATCCAGAAAAGTATAACGATTTCTGCAGAAACATAAAAATTACTGAAGAGTATTTTAGGCTGTGAAATAATTAGTTCTTATTATAATGCTTAGTTTATGCAGACAATATTAGCGTTCTTACAGCAAAAGATCAATAGCTATTGATTCTAAGACCCTGTACATTCATTCATTTACAATTATAGCATTTATATGCAAATTTCATTTTTTTGCTTAAAGGACAATCAAATACAATCTTAAAAAAGGACGGTCAGTATAATCTCGAATATCTTGCCTCCCCATTGGGAATGCTCTTTTCTTCCTGTTATCCTGCAGCTGACCTCTATTTTCATAAGCTATTTAATATCTCTCAAAGTAAAGAAGTCTATGACCTTTAAAGGCTCTACTGTCCCACGTGATCCCTTAGAAAATGTAAGTACTGATGATACAAAACACTTTTTTTTTTCACTTCACTTGAAGTTCATCAACATACTGTTAGCCTACCAAAAGGTCACCATTTTATAAATTATGCCTTTCACAACAACAAAAAAGAATAGCTTAATTGGGATTTTGTGGCAGTTGCTTTTGCTCAGTTATCAACGGTTACAGCCAGGAAGAAGAACATTGGGAGAATATCTGAGGTTTTAATCCTATAGAAAAAAGTTTGTAGTAAATGAACAAATAAATTAATAGCCAAACCTCATTTTTCCCAAGTGGCCAGGTCTTAAACCAACATGGTGTCTTGTATTCATGGTGCCTTATCCTTATCATTCCATTTTTTTCCATCGTATTCTCTCCCTCCCTCCTTCCCTTGCTTCCTCTCCTGCCCATCCCTTCTTCCCTCTCTGCCTCAACCTTGCTTTTGTACAAACTACATACAATTTTTATATGTTTTTTGAAATGAGACAGGAGATGCGGAAGCCCTCTGTTATATAGGTATCCCACCTAACGTAGGTAGTCATGGGTGTAGACCCCAAATGTTCTGGGTGCCTAGTAAAAGGAGGGAAGCAAAAATGCCAGAAAAATAACAGGGAAGTTGACTTTCAGGAGGAAAAACTGGATAAAAAGAGTTGGGAGCAAAATTGATGGGAAGAGAAGTAATTTGAAAATTAAAAGAGAAATAATGCATTGTGGGGTTTGAGTTTGAAGTTTACGTGCAGAAGAGTTTCAAAAAGGCTGGCGATTTGATTTAAGCACGGCATAGAGAAAGAGACTTTTTAATGAAGCTGGTGTTGAATGGCAGGTGAGAGGTTAGAGTATCCTAATAAACAGGAAGATCTATGAGGTAATTCCCTCTATTACTATAACATCTGGCACATTGATAACTGTGGTCAAAACAGATTCGGTTCTGCCACTACTGAGCAACTAGAGTACAGCAACTAGAATATAACTGAAAAGACTCCTGCGGTCACTATTTGACAAGGGGCTAGCAGTCCCAGAGTGGGACGACTGGACTCTCCAAAGGTGATTAAGCCACCTGATTTGAGATAAATGAGAAACCAGTGCGCTTTGCCTCTAAAGAGGTTATCGGAATTGGCCACAGCTCAAGAAAGGAAAAGAAGATGCCAATGATAAAAGTTCTAGGATGAAAAGATTGTCCTTATAACAACTACATTTGGGACTGGAAGCTGGTGGCAAGAGTAGTAGCCGTAATCATGTCAAACTTGAAGCAGCTGCAAGACATTCAGAGGAATGAACACACGGATGACTGGTGACTAAACGAGAAGCCAGTCATGGGAAACTATCCTCTGGGAAGGTTTCCCTCTTACCCTAGCACTGAAGTTGAAAAATATACAGGTATGAAAAAATAAGTGTCTTGTTCCTAAAAAGTTGTTTTCCATTATATTGATAGGGATAAGGGGATAGGAGAAAAGTAGTGGCTTTTCAGCAAAAGATGTGTGAATACATTTGTTGTGGCAGATGGGCTAATTAATCCATAAGCAACTTGTGAATGTTAAGTAAAGAATATAGCTTTTCATATGTAAACCACATCATGCCAATGTTTGATGAGGCTTCTGTTTAAGGAACAATCTACCCTTTTGGATAAACTGCAAAATCTGGGCTACTTGTCAGCAACCTCCCCAGAGTGATTGGTGGCCTCAGCTTGGGTAAGAGCTGCGCTACTTTGATTATTTCTCCAAATCCAGCCACATGCAAAATTTTCTTGAGTATCAGAAAACAAACAGGTTTTTCTTTTTTTCCTTTTGAAGTGCAAACAAGTGCATGAATAACCAAGTCACCCTGGTGAGTTGCCATTTCCAGAGTCAGCTGTTTGGGAATGATGAGGGTTTCTAAACCTCTGTTCCCTCTTATGAAAAATAAGGCCTTTTATGCATCTGTGCCTTTCATAGGAGAATACATATAAGAATACTCAATAGAAGAAGTATAGAATACCTAAGATTATGTGCAATTGATATAGCCCAATTTCAAATTGAGAAGTATAAAGCACTTGAATATTGTTTGTTTTTGTTTACAAAATTTTTATTCATTCATTCATTTATTCTTTTGTTAATTTTCAGCTTTATCGAGATATAGACAACAAGGAAAATTGTATTTAACATATACATTGTGTTGATTTGATATA